AGACCTACTCTCTGCAACGCGTGAAAACAGGAAGTGTGGTCGTGTTTATATATATATTATATAATAAATGACCATTGAGGTGCTCGGGGAAATTCTTTTTTGGGTGTGTGTGAATCGTCTTTGGGGCTGTGAATTGATGGATTGGGCCACTACATAAACATTCATAAACAACATGGTAGATGTGTACCAGTTTTCCCAGGGAGAGACCATTTCTCAACTTGTGGTGATGAATAGAGGATTAAATGGGCACCCCCATTGGGAGAAAGCATTGTTTTTCTGAGCGGCATGGTTTTGTTTTTGTTAAACATTTTATACTGGTTTTTCTGGCTTGAGGATCAACCTTTTGTCCTCATCGCAACCCATACTTTCCTCTTTGAGCTGAAATGTTGGTCTGGATTGTGTGGGGTTCATTTTCTGTCATTTTCTTGGTCTTGGCCCGAGGTGCACAGCCACAGCCGGGCCCCGTCCATCAACACAGCAGAGGTGCTAAGCTCCAGTTCTAGCCGTTGGCTGCCAAACGCGGAGGGAGGAACGCGGAGGAACCTCCAATGATTTTTCCGCACCATGCTTTAAAGTGCAGTTGCCACTACACTGCTATGCTGTGTACGGTACGCCGCGAACTTGCAGCCGGTCAGAGATCAAGTGCAGCTGCCAGTTTTCTGTACTGGGGCTATCTGGGGCTCATCAGGTTCGTACCTTTTCCTTTTCCCAAGGCTTGGGAGGACCTCGAATTGGATTTGCCCGACGCGGGCATCAACGGTGCCATTTGTGCCAGCGTGCTGCGGCGCATCAGCAAGACCTCTGCAGGCGTGACGGGCCGGGAACCCGTTGAGAAGATGGTACTGTGCGGAGCTGGGCGTTGGTAATGAGCTAGGCTGACGGTTAGTGTCCCTATTATGGATCTTTTGGCGTAATATGTAGTGTATGAGTTCACTAATCTTATCTAACATGCTGTGTGGTGTGACCTGTTGGTTCTTCCACTTGCAAATGAAGCCGCATGAGATGGTTGTGAAAGACCTTCAAGGCCTTTTATAGGAGGCAGGGCACCAAACCGAAGTTCAACGACCCCGCTCCGCTGCCCCAGACAGCGGCCTCGGTGGTCTGGGCATGGATAGTTTGGAGCTTCGTCGGCTTGGGGTCTCAGTCATGGAGCTTGGTCAGCATGGCGTCGACCACGGGAGGCAGCCTTCTAGACCTGCAGACCTCCAGGAATGGCAGAAGATCGTCAACCAGCATATAGACTCCCAAATACATAGTTCTATTTTGATCAATTGAACCCATAACAATCTTTAAGACTTGCCGCTGAACCTGTGGCAAGATCGGCTTCCTTCAGCTTCCGGGCCCAACATTTTGGCTTCAACAGGTAGATTTGTTAGGTGACATGCTGACAGAACAGGACAGATGTTATTCATTTATAGACTGTACAATTTTGCTGGAGACTTCACCAAAGCAGCCTGGAAACCCACTTTTGCAACTTGCTCAAGTTGAAACCGCATGTTTGCCATGCTGTCACATCCCGACAGCCTCGGTGTCGCACACCTCTTGAAACCTAAAAAGACCTGGTGCATGGGCAGCCAAAACGCGGACAGGTCAAAAAAGAAGCATAGAAGAATTCGGGTCTTTCCAGCCACTGATGTGACCTGCTCGCCCCGGGAAGTGCCATGGGTGATGGGCCGAAGTTGGAGCTTTGGCTTGATTGCCGCACCGGCTCGGATGGGCCTTGAGCTTAGTTTGCCCCGAGCCCGCCGGAGTTCATCCGTTCATCCGATGCGCTACAGTCTGGTCGGAAATACCCTCACGCCGACCCTCCTGACGTTGTGTGGACCATGGACATGCATCTATTTTTGGAAGACCTCAGGCCAGCACCGTTAGCTTGCGCCTTGGCTTTGCATCGCCGAATCATGCGTGCGGGAGATCAAAGGCGCAAAACACTGTTGCACAGCTGGCGGGCACCAGTGGATACTTGCACCATTTTTCGACCAAGTGTTCACCACTGGTGACACATCAAGGTTGCATACATGGAGCGTGTTTGAGCTTTCCTTGGTGAAGCAACTACTCGGTCCTTGAGGGCATGGCAGTTGCTCGCTCACTCACTGAGACAAAGCATATATATATACATATTATATATATATATACCAACACCCTTCCATAGAGTTCGAACATGTCCTTTGTTGTCCTCACCTGTCCACCCCACCCAGAGGTCCATGATGGTTCATGCATGTTTGTGCTTACAGTGGTTTCAGAGTAGATGGCACAGACCCCATGATGTCCTGTATATAGGGATCCACATAAACCACCTTTTGGGGATTGCGCCATCTACTCTCAACCCACTAGATTGTTGATAGAGATCCCTCACCATCCCCAGACCTTTAGTCATCTTCAGTCGGTCTCTTCTTGTCGGGCTTTGAACATGGGGAGGTCTCCATTTCGGCCTCCCTATTGCAACGACACGCTCCAGAACACGAAGGGGTCATACCTTGTGAGCCTCATTGGCTGCATCACACCGCACCATTTCGGCACTCGCCACTCGACAGCCGCCCAGCTGAGGCGATCGGCGCTTGCTTTGCACGGGCACACTGCCCGGGCGTCGCGATGTCATCGTGGGCGCTGCTCGGATGGAAAGCGACTGGGGGGAAGGTCCAGCATGTAGGGATCTTGGCTCCCAATTTTCTTGAAGCTTCAGATGTATATACGCTATTTGTGCACTGAAAACCTTACAGTACATAGTCTTGTGGACGTGTACTTGTTTGTACTTGTACACTCACAGGTCGATTGTTTGGAAGTGGGTTTGTGGCACTGAGACATCGGTGGAGGCAATTCAACGATTTCATGGAGCCGAGGGAAGAAAGAACTGAAGACATGGCTAATGGCCAAGTTGAGCCTCGTGAAGATGGTTTGGTGATTCGATGGTCCAAGAGGAAGCTTCACTATGCATGGGGTTAGGCAATGATACCACTATGTAATTATTAGACAATGACATGCCATAACATGTTTTGACTTCTGATTAGATTGTTGGGGCCGACTTCTGGGAAACAGATTTGACCTGGGAGATCGAGGAGCCAGCCAGACAGCCAGACAAGTGTTGGTGGTCATTGAACCCTTGGATTCGAGGGCGTTGTCTCCATAGCACCTTACTGGATCATTAGATGAACTGACCAGCAAATGTCCTGGGGAGGTGGTAAATGCTAGCCTCCATCAATGGCAACTCTCTCACACAGCGGTAGATGTGGGCAGCCCCGACTAATGGATCTTTGAAAGGCATTGGCTCATCTCGCACTTTGGTGTTTTCATCATGTTCCACCGAAGGCCATCGGTTTCCACAAGCCGATGGTGCCAACATGATTGAATGGTTTCACTTGGTGGTTGGTGGAGGATCAGCTTGGTGTTGGACTACTTGGTGCTTTCCCCCAAAGCCGACGACGCCACAGCCGCGCCGTCGAACGCCTCGCGAGGTGGGCGGCAAGGTCTCGGACTGCGACGGCCGAGAGATGGGTGTGCCGTGGCCGCCGACCCGGGCGAGGAGGGCGATGCCGGGGCGGCGATGCCGGGAAAGGAGGGGTGAACATTTGAGGCCTCTCGTAACGTAACCTTTTCTTTTGAGAGGGGAGCGCTGTGAGCGGCGCGTTTTTCGATGAAAATGAGCATTTTTCAACCTTTTTCATGCGTTTTCTTGAGAATGATTGATGTGTCTGACATTGCCTGGAAGGATCTGCCTGGAAGCGCCCAGATGTTATTCAGTAAGATCGGTCAAGAAACCTACAGTGATTATGAAAAAAATAACCAAAACTGGAATGATAGAATGAATGACTTTACAAGAAACTTAAATGATCACTTTAAACAACATAGAACACTATATGCTGAAGAGAAAAATATAGCAAACAAGGAGAAGATAGAAGACCGCAGGGGCTTATGGAATGCCTATTCATCACCAAGTGCTTTTTACAAAACAAGTAAGACTTTATACATAAGTGGCACAGGTGGTTGCGATGGATCTTTAACAAGGGATATTATGGATGATCTGTTATTAGTACCTACTAGAAATGTTCATCACAGTGAGAAATACAAACATGTTATAGAAGAATTGGAAAAGTCACCAGAAATAACCCGTTTGGTTGGGCATAGCCTTGCAAGTGCTGTAATAAGATCAATCAAGAACAACCTAATACATTTGCTAAAACAACCTATGCTACCCCTACAATAAAAACAAAAAGGAAAGGAACAAAAATTCCAAAAGACTTGACTACCGCAATCCATCCGATATTGTTTCAATGTTGGATGGTTACGCTGCAACTTCTGATTTGAAAGAACCTAACCCTTTAATGAGCCACAGCTATATCAATTTTGAAGGGAACGGCCTTTGGAACATCAATCCCGGCACCAATATAAGCAATGGATTTAACCCCAATCACTCATTTAAAGGACAACATTTAAACTTAGTTAAAATATGTAATGTTATGGTGGATTACTCCAAGGCAAAAATTTACAGAATACTAAATGACAAAATGACGATGTCTATATTGGTGCTACTTGTCAGCCATTGAGTGTCAGAATGGCAGGACATAGAAGGGGGCGGAATGGCAAAGATAAGAAACATTACAAATTGTTATCACACAATCACCCAAACATTCAATGCTGGTGGTGGTGAAATTAATATGAATATTGTAAAATCATCTTCTAAACTGACTGGAGCATTCATTACCTTATTTAGAACTCCAAGGAGTGGTGAAGATCTGAACCGATACTTACCTGACAATTATGTATATAAGAGATGGAATTACTTTTACAATCCTATGATCTATGGAAGAATTAATGATACTGGTAATGCTGATGCAAATGACTTACAAGGTACAAAGGTTTTCAAGATGCCACCCGTAGTTTAAGTTGGCAAATTCAATTAAGCAATTCCCAGAAATACACAGAATTTGAAGCGCAATCATTATCATAAACCTTTTACTATTTAAGAAGAGCTATACAGTACATGACAGTTTAAGTTTTTCGTATCGTCAATACAGAGAGAACAAATTCATTATTGGTATGTCATTTGAAAAAATTGCAGATGTCAATTTTACTGGTTATAATTCTAAAATGTCAGGTATTACCAATTTCGAGTTAAAGGAGCAGAAGGAGCATTATTAGACCCTAATGAACAAATCACTGAGGGTTTTTGTCATTTGATTTCAGAGACTGTTCTGGAATTGAGAGAAAGTGAGAGTATTGTTTACTTCCAAGGAATTGAAAATTTTAAAACATCCCAGGAAATCAAAAAATCCAAAATTCCAATTTTCAAAAAAAAACAAAAAAACAATTCTGCACAGACCATGGGGGGAAGAGGGGGTGAGGCAAAGTCCTGGCACAATTGTTTTTTTTGGTTTCTTTGGTTTTTTTGGAAAATTGGAATTTTGGAAAATTGGAATTTTGGAAATTGCCTTTGGGGGAGGGGGGGGTTGAGGCAGAATAGTATTCTTTCAGTGGCACAAGAATCAATAGAAACGCAATACAAATATAGAAACAAAATACAAACAAAATGAAACAATGCAAAAACGCGCCGCTCAGAGCGCTCCTTTCTGTTTTTTTTTTGGTCGCTTTTAATTAGTTGGGATGGCCACTGAAAAAAGGAATGAAACGGAGACAGTGGTAGATTGCGAGGGAGTGCCAATCATCCACAAGCCGTACAACGACCGCAGTGCATCCGGCAAAACGACCACAGTGCATCGTAAGGTTCTGCACCCATCGATTCTGGGGACGAGAAGCGGGTGAGGTTTGGCCTTGCTTGATGTGTTAGACTTGTTCGACGTCTTCTGCCAAGTCTTGGTGTTTGTTTTGGCTTGGGGCATCAGTAGCCAGGTGAGGAGTCAACACCAGGTGTGAGAGCCATTGTCAGTTGACCTGTATGGCCCAGGTGTGGCCCACTGTGAGATCTCTTTAATTGGGTGGAATGCACACCCCAAATTTGGGACATTTGGAGAACATCCGAAATCAGGACGACGCATAGTAGACACCACCGACATCTCGCTGCAGACATCCAGACATCTCGCGAGCTGCTTCGCATCCCATCGGCCCTGAACGGCCCCCTGAAAGAAGCGAAATGCTCCGTTCGAGGCCGCGATGCCCCTTGCTCCGACCGGTCCCAGTAGCGTCCTCTTGCTCCGAGTAGTTAGGCCACAAGCCCCGTTCGTAGCGTCCTTGCTCCGTTCGTAGCGATGCCCTTTGTATCCCTTTGTTCCTGGCTTGTGGAAACCTCGCCGACTCGCTCTCTCAGCTGAGGTGGTCTTTGTGGGTTCCGCGGGCGAAGTGCACAAGCACGCCCTGGAGGTCATGGGCCAGGTGGAATGGGTCGCTCAGATGGATGGTGCCGGTCCGAGAGGATGGGACATTTGCATCAGTTGCAGCCGTGCCCTGATGGAGAGAAGAACCGCCCACGAAACACTCGAAGATCATTTATGGGGGATCCTACACGTTCAAGCAGGGGGGCTCAACCTATGTCGTTTAAATCCACCATGTCGAGGGCATGGGAGTGGAGTTGAGATTCAAGAACCCTGCAGTGCAAGCAAAGTTAGCCACCAAGTGCCGGCAATCTGAGGTGATTCTACAGGCTGGCAGGGTGGAGTCGCGGCTTCGTTGTTGCAGGAATGCTTTCACAACTTTAGGTCTGACATGTTCTTTGGCAGACGAATAGGATGTCTTCATAGGTTTATAGACATGAGAGAGAGAGAGAGAAAGACCGACCTAGACGTCGCTCTCTCTCTCTTTGATCAGACGGCTTGAATGACCTTTTCCATCACTGTATCTCCTGAATCCCAGGCAGATCAGCTCGTCCCATCTGACGCACTGCTAGCAGCCAGCACAAGACATGGCACACGCCTAGCGGTGGTACTTAGCGACGAGTAGCTCAGCTTCATTTCAGCGAACGTCATGGGGATGTTGTGTCTTTCAGGGGTCCTGGTACCATGTTGTTTGAGGATGTCCACTCAGCTGATCTCATGGGGACTCGGAATTTTGTTTCAGGATTGCACGATAGAACACGGAGGGTGGTAGTCCTCGTCATAGTCCCTTTCTCCAGGAACATGGTCCCTCGGAGGTAGGAAACAACGGGTGTCCAGCTGTGTTTGCTTGGCCAGAGTCTTGAATTGATATCCGCAGCAATTAATGATGTCAGAGCTTCGATTGAAAATCACCCTTATGAAATGATCGAGGGAGGCTGAATAGCATGTGCCCCACAACAGTAGGTAGTATAGTAGGTAGTAGTACTGTTTTTCACTATATATAGGATAGCCATTGGTAGCATCAGTTGCTGTAGCGGCGATTCTTATCGAAGTATATAATAGTAGCGTCACCCAAAGCTTTCCTCATTTAAAGCTCCTCAACGCAGCTCAAAGAACAAGCAGTAGGAAAGCCAAGCGCATCGGAGCTTGAGTGGTGTTTTGTTTGCAGCAATTATTTTTCTTGGATGTTCTTCTTGTTCACACCCCCGACAGTTGTTTTTCTCTTTTCCTTCTCAGGTGTGTTGTTTTTCGATGTCTTTCGTGTTTTGCGAAGGTTTATTCAATGTCGAACACGGTGGCCACAATTGCCATAGCGCCGTCCAGTGAAACACCACACAAGTTGAAACAGCAACTCCAGGAATCGTTTGAGGGAACGAGGAAGAACCATGAAAAAACTGATCACACGATCCGCCTCGATTTACAGGATATTGTTGCGTACATATTGGGAGGGCCCTCATGGCTGGTGGGGGTGTCTGCATGTGACGATCAATTTGCCGCCTTTTGTTGCTACCAGGCAGCACCTCTTGGATTTCGAGCCAGCGCTACCCAGGCGCGGCAATCGAGGTTCGCCATTCTGATCAACTGGGGTGATGGTCAATTGCAATCATCATGTAACATGTACTCCCCGCTTGGCTATATTGTTCAGATTGTTCAGCTGGCCAGAATCATTTACCTGAAAGAAAGACCGCAGCCTCTGAATCGACCACTGGTTGATCATCGTCATGTGAAACTCATACCGTGTGGTTGCTCCAACAGGACAGGTGCCCTCATCGTCACGGACGAGGAGATGTTAAGCAAAGCCATTGTCCATCGGATGGTGACATCCTCAGCACCCTCCTGAGGAGGATCGAAGCCAGTTGAGTGGGTGGGGTGTGGCTCCAAATGTGGAGGGAGCACTTGGAAAAGCCAAGCATCCACCAAATCTGAATAATTAGGAACCCGATGCATGTATACTGTATGTTGTGGGGCGGCTTGCATAATTTGCGCAGAATCACGAGCCTGGAGGCTTTCAAGTGAGCCTTCCGGGGCGAAAACCCTGCGTATTGCATACGATGAAGTGTGAGGGCAATGAGTGAAGGGGCAGACCCCTACATATCATGCGTTTTCTAGCCAAATCCAGGATGCTGATTGGTTGGTGTGTGATGTTTTGGGCCAGCATTGGCAACAGGTGCTCTGCTGATGTATTTGTGATGACAAATTGTAATCAGACAAGATTACCGTATCACATGACATTCTGTCGTGCTATGCGTTCTCTGAGAGGTGCTCCCATGGAAGCCCTAATTTAGCAACTAATGGTGATCATGCTGGCAGGTCTTGTGTAAATGTTTCTGTAGTTCCATTCAAGGTTTGTTTTCTCGGTGCTTGCCTGACTTCCAGACATGACTGTGCTTGATTGATTACATTTGATTACCCAATTTCGATGTTCAATTTTGAAGAATTCAACTTCGAAGTGATGCCACCCACCACTTGGCATCTCCAGTTCACCACCACTGCTTGCTACAACTCCTTCTCTCGGCCTCAATTGGACCACTTCCGATGCCCAGGCTCTGAACAAATCAGAGTCGCTGATGTTGAATACGGCGGCTTGGCTGTTGATGCCCCTTTCACCCTCGACAAGGATCCATATGACCTCGCTGTACCTTGTGCATGGAATTTGTTTCACTGATGGTGCCACCTTCGCAATGATGCTCAAGGATGCGAATTTCGACACAACTGTGTTCTCAAAACAATTCTTCGTTCAGAACCCAGACCTGAGAAACGGCCATGACAGGAGGCAACACACCAAAAACACTGACTTACACTCCGTCTGACGGCAATACACTCTGTCACGGCGGAACACCTGTCGAGGTCTGCGGCGGCATTTTCCTCCCCGCCGCGGAGGCGCGGAACAGTCGCGGCGAGGATCTGATCCGTTGGAGAAATGGAGTCTGTTTTGTAGTTGTTGCGACTTCTTCAGTTGTTGCCAGAAAGAGAGTCCAAAAGGTGTAGCAACAATTGAGAACAGACATGAACAGACCGTGTTTGCTTCGTAAGCTGCGTCGATGTCTTCGGACGTCCTCCCGTCCTCGTGGTCGCGCAGGAGCTCAAGCTGGTGACGGTTGAGTCGGTGGAGGTCATCCATGGCTGCTTGGAACAAAGTTGTTCCTTTTTGGGGGGGATCGGTGGGACACCAACTGCAGAAAAGTCTTGAGGTAGTTCTTGGGTTATCTTGGGGTAAGTAGGTGCTGTTTGACAAATTCCTCTTTCTGGTGGACAGGTCTTTTACGGTAGCGCTCGTTTGAAGCGGCTGTTGGTGAGAAAGGTTGGTGAGGTTGGTGGGAAAGATAAGCGACCTGTGATTTGGACATGTTTGAGTACAGAGGCAGCAAGCAAGACCAGCACTTTTCTTTCAGATCTGTTTCTTAAAGTCTTAAAGCAGCTCCTTTTGTATAATTGATTGCACTCGGCAACCATTGGGGACCTAACCTCATTGAATGTATCGGAATACTCTCGGGGATTTGGGCGGGGATCCAGGGCCGACTCTCAACGTCAGTCGGGCTGACTGTGGTTTGAGGTGAAGCTGACCGTGACTTGTTTGCACGAATCAGTCGGAACCTGCTGGGAAGCTCACCAGCCCTCAGGGAATTTGAGCTCACCAGCCCTTAGTAGAAACATCAACAATTGACCTATCAAGCTCCAGCAGTTTTCTTGCCAGTATCATCCAGCATCCAGCCTTTCAGATCAAGAAACTGAATGACACACCTCAATGGTGCGCGGCGCACTGTCTCACCAGATCGGGAAATGCTCTGGGTCCGCTGCTGCACGCCTTTACGCCAGGGTCATTGGAGAGAAATCCCAGGAGGGTCATCACCTCATCTCCGGCCTTGATCGGCCTTGTGCCGCATACGTTTTGTTTGAATGCTTCTTCCAGACTCGACTGCTGCTGAATGTCAGACCTCCAAGAGAGCATTGTTGGTAGTTGGTATAATGTTGGTTGATATTGGTAGATGAACATTGTAACATAGGTCCTCCAGATATCGAACGGTTCAGAGTCCATCCGTGCGTTTGCTTTCCGTGCGTCGATCCGGCACGGCCGTCTCACCCCGATGAGTTCATGAAGGCACGGAAATCGGATACAACATCAATTCGGAGGACATCCTTCGCTCGGCTTCCTGCCACCCGAATTCGGAGCCGAGCGAAGGTCCGGAGGGTATACCGCTCGACGAACGTCCGGTTTCCCCCGACAGGATCGCTTGGCAGATTCGGCTCGGAGCTGGCAGAGCCTGTTGTTTTTCTTCGTGAAGGCATGTTGGAATGACGTTTCCCTGCTCGAGGAGTCTACCTGGACATGATCAACATGCTTCAAAGTGGCGAGGGCGCGCTGGTGGGTTCAACAGCCAAAGCGCTGTGTGGCTCGGTTCAGGGTGGATTTGGATCTTCGGCCATGACTGAAGATGTTGAACCGTAGAACCTTTTCCTCACATGCGAGCTTGGTGGTTGCCGTCATTACTGGGGGATACTGCGGGCCTGCCACCAGCTGCTCAACAGCCACTAACGCAAAGAGTTGTTGCACTTTTTGTACCGTGCAAAGCAGGCATAGGGATAGGTGTCCATCGCAATGCTTCGCTTCATGTGTTTTTCTTTGGCTTCCCATCGTTAGCATCATTGACGGGCAAATGGTCTCAAACATTAAACATGTCCGGCCAACCACTACGTAGCAATTCTGTAAGCAGAGCATTGTCTAATTACTGTATATTAAACTATAACATTACATTATGTATTTTATAATATATATATATGTATGTATATTATCTTATATAACTACTAAAAGCTTCCAACACCAAACTAGAGATATTCGCAGTCTCCATGACATGCTCTATCCAGGGAAAACATGTTCAAAAAAGGACCGCCTACGTCCAGGGATTCCCCATCTTTGGTTGAGACCATCCCAACTGGTGCTGCACCGGATGTGCCCAGGTTTCATCCACGCGGACGCGGGCGGACGGGCCTTCCGCATCAACGCTGGGCCGGTCCATGCCGCTCGGAGTTGTTAGTCGATGGAGATGGGAATTCTGCCTGCCACGAGCAAGCAGTTTCAACACAACTTCTTAGGGCGCGCTTTCCACAAGGGAAAGCTTTCGCGAGGTAGTTCAGGTCCAAAGAGCGCAACTTTGAAGGGTATTTGGGAGGATGATCAAAGCATAGACTGTTTGTGGAGATCCTGCCAATTCCTGCCTGGAGGGAGCTACTGGACATCTTCGATTCTACATAGCAGATGATCCCCAGATCCCTGAAGCAGACTTGAGAGTATGGAGATTGGTGAGGCACAAAATGCCAAAGACCTGCAGAGAAACATGTTTCAGCTGGCAACTGAATCCATCGCCTACTTGACCTTGAAGCTTCATACAACGTTTGGCAGATCTTCCCATCCACAAAAGAAGCCCAACAAAACTGATCTCATGGCATCCACTGTTGCCATCCGCGCGGTGGTGAGATCGCATCGCACCATCGCTCTGAGGCCTACGTGGCGCTCCCAGACGGACGAACCAAATATCTCAGTGACTCGAGATGAAAGTCTTGGAGGGTCTACTCCCCTGCAGATAAACATAGAACGCATTGGGACCCCAAAACCACATAAAACCACTGGGTTGTAGAGGAAAATGGTGTTCTACGCGACGGGTTAGTTCTCAGGTTCCATGCTAGTTTGCAGGGGCTAGGTCATGGTCCCAACGCTTTCCGTGGAAAAGCTTGGAAAAGGATGCCTTTTTGGACATGGAAGGCCAGGTCCTTTCGTCAATCCCACCCACCTTGATGTCCCCCAAAGTCCCGGAGCCAGGATTTTTTTTTGAGGAATCGTCAATGGACTCAAAGCGTATACATTCTTCCAGAGGTGCATGGCTTCGCGAGGGACAACAAAGATTCATGGATGTTCCAGTCCAGTCGATGGATAGGCTCACTGGGCCAAAAGGCTCATTCCAATAAATGAGGAAAGGCACTATATACGTACTGAATTTGTATATATTTACCGTACCTCTGAATAAATTCTTGTTCATTGAACTTCCGGCATGTCTAAACAAACATCTTTAGATCTCATCCAACTTGGTCCTCTTTCCAAACGGTGTGTTTTAATTGCCGCTTGACCTATCGTCTCCGGTCGCGCAGGTGATGTGGAGGCCGGGGATCAGATCCTCATGGTGGACATCGGGCGTGGTGGACATGGAGCACCTGCCAGCCGCAGTAGGGGAGACCCGGAGAACCGGACGGAACCGCGGACGGAGGAGCGAACGATGTCGTCCACAGACGACCGGTTTGGAACTGATCGAAGCTGGTCGAGTTGCAGGGCGAGAGGCAGGTTTATGATGGTTTATGATGGTTTAAGTGTTTGTATAGTTTATGATGGTAAGTTAATGACGGTTTATGAAGTCTATATGGTTTAAGTTTAATGATGTTTAATGTATAGGTTTGCAAACTTGTGGTACAATGTGGTACCTGTGAGGGGTCTGTGCGACGCGAGGGTGTGTAGCTTCTACAAGTGATGAGGAGGGTGGATGGTGCGGTGTAAAGAACGACATGTTCCAAGCCGTTCAGAGCAGACACAATGTCAATAAAGAGGTGTCCTGCACATGCTTCAAGCACAAGTCGATTTGTGGGGCTGGTCCAGTGATCTCCCCCTCTCTCTCTCTCTCTCCCGGAGCTTTGTGACCGCCCGGCTGGCTCAAGTGGTTTTCGTCCGTCCGACACGCTCCGTGACACCCCGCTGCGCACTCCGCCGCACACTCCGCCCTCGGACCAATGGTGAAGCGTGACGCAGCCCAGATGAACAACACTGAGCCGCCTGACCTGGAGTTGTACTTTGTGTTCTGTTTTTGTTTTGTCGTTTGTCGCGGAACCTGTTTGGAAGGGGTTCTCCACAACCACTATGACACCAGTGTGAGTTTTGGCGGTGCGCTTCCTGCGGGACTTTTCTCTTTTTTCAGGTGATTGAACATATATGCTCCTCTCATGAGGGTCTAGGGTCTTTTGAGCCAATCTGTGGCTCTTTGAATTCGCGTTGCCACATCGACACCACGATGCTCAAATTGATGCCAGACAAACAGCAATCTGGAAGCTCGCAAGCTGATAAGTCCTTCGCTATGGTGGGACTGCTTCTTAACCTGCGAAATCTGCAACTTGCGTGTCTTCCTGCGAAGCCATAGGAGAACTCCTTTCACCAACCAAACGTCCTCTTGGCTTTGCACTTCACCGCTACAGGTGCGAGGCACCTCCTTTGAAGCGAAGCGTCTCCCCCTCCTCCGACGTGGAGCACAGCCCGCTCTTCGGGCCGAGCACCTCCCCGGAGGCCCGCGATCACGTGGCTCGGCGATCAGGTCACGCGTTCTCCGGTGACCTGGCGGAGCGCCGGTTTCGGGGACCACATGTGACCTGGGGAGAGGTGGATGTTGTGGGTAATTATGTGGAGCATCAACTGATCAACTACTGTGACTTCCCCACAGGATGAGGAGGAACGGAGCTTCTCATGTGAAAAGCAAGGTGGGTGATGGCTTTCACGCTTGCTCATGTTTGTGCTATTTTTGTTCGGCCACAATTGGGGTCCTTAGGTGTGCAATCTTGCACAGCTTAGTAAGGTTCTTGCCAGAGTGCCCAACCACGGTGACAAGCATGCAGCAGGCATACATGGGGATCGAACAGAATTCTAATCAATGTATTTGTGGGCTGGCCCCAATATCCGATCCCCGTTTTTTCTCTCTTTGCGCCGCTCCAACCTTTTTTCCTCCCAACAACCTCCCCCCTTCCCTCGGTGCCCAAACGTGCCACGTCCCTGTCCGTCGCTCGCACCGCTTGCCGAGGCGCACCACTCGGAGCTCTGGGGTCTCCCCGTCAAGGAGCTGAAGCAGCGCCTGAAGGCCGTGGGCTCCGACGTGCGGGGCGTCACCGAGAAGACGGAGCTCATCATCTTGCTGGAGCAACTCACGGAGAAGTCGCCCTCCGAGGGCCTCTTGCTGTGAAGAGATCATGTCATGTGGTGAAGAGAACTGGAGTCTCAGCTAGGCAGCCTAGCTAGGAGTCACCAGAAAATGGATTGGAAGATGGTGAGAAGTAGTCACACAGGTGACTGAAGCATGTCGAATCATCCAAGCATTTGGAGTTTCAGTCACAGTCCTGTATATAGCATGCTGATTCCTTTTGTATAGAACATCTTCCACAGCCGCCGTTGGGCCGTGGAAGGAGCTTTCCTTGATGTGCTCCATACTAACAGCAAAGGTTATTGGAGCGCAGGTGATTGCAGCTGGTGAGGTGTTGGCGTGCCTCGCACCCAAACCGTTCGCCTACCCCTCCCAATGTACAGAACCCCTCGCCGTATTGCTTTGCGCTGCTCAGCACATTTTCAATTCCTGTGAGGCTCATGCTTTAGACGTGTCTGCGGGAAGGGCTAGCACCAAGCGGCAACGGCTCGACGTCCAAAAGAGGTGCTGCAGGACGTGTGCTTTGTTTCGTTTCTGCAGGACTTCATATGCGGGCGTCTCTCATTGGAACATGGCCTTACCCCCAAGCTCTCTGGAAATCGGTAAGGGACTTCAGTCCAATGACTGCTCAGCATGGGGCAGTGCAGGAGCCACTGAGCAGGGCTCTCATGTTTTCCCTTTCATCATTTTCATCCCTCGTTTTCTGCCGCTGTGAATCGAACGCCCTGCCGCTGAGGTGTGACGGTGGGGCGTTGCCAGGTGGATCGCTGCCAAGTGGCACGGATCCGTTTGTGCTTGGACGGTGAGCACAGTGCGGAAGCTCAGCATAGGTCAGGCAAAGGATGGTAAAAGGGTGAGGGGGAGCTCCACATCCAGTTTTTTCTGGGCGACCACATGACGTGTGTGTGTGATGTTCTTGACCTTTTTTTGCTTGGCAGCTTACTTAGAAGATGATTTTTCCAAGGTTTCCACCACCCACACACGCGGCGGTTCACCACCACCCTGGAATTTCACCCTGCCAACTCTTGGTCGCACCGAAGGCCAACTCTTCCTCGAATGGACGGATGCCGTCCACCTCCATGGGCGCCAGGTGCCACCCCCGGGACCTCGGCCGGTCGGGGCCGGAACGAACATCCAACGGGACATGGGGCAAAAGACAAGCGGAGCTTGGATTCGTCATGTAGGACCCAGGGTGTTTCTAGGTTTGTAGCCTGATATAGTGGAAATAGGTGAAGTGTGAATATTGATTGATGAGTTCTTTATGGATAGAGATCTTCTGTACTGCTAGAAGTTTTGCGACCCGCCATCCCCGTGGAAGACTTTGTCTCAGGCAGGTGGTGGCCCGAGCGAACCCTTGCCGCTGACGCAACTTCGCGGGGGTAGCTTGGATGAGTTTAGGCTTCGGCTCACCAGTTCACTGTCCAAAGAGAAGATGTGTGCATGGCAGCAGTTGTTGTTGTTGTGGTGGTGGTTGTTGGTTGTTTGTTGGTTGTTCTTGTTCTTGTTCTTGTTCAAGGGTTTGACAGTGCCAACTCGACCGTATTCGCCTCTTGGACTCCCACATTTATGGCTTGGCTTGTGGGTCAAAGACATATATATATATAGTTTAAGCATGTTCAAGCACATGTTGCCCAAGATCCACCGCAGACCTAACCATCAATGTTCCAGTTGGTTGTACATAAATTAAAGATACACATAGTATATTGTAGTTCCTTGTGAGTATCTCCCCGGCCATCCATGCATGCAATAGTCAATTCCCATCATCATGGTTACACATAGGGGCAATGCACTCTTTCGCATATGAATGTAAGGTCCTGTAGTCCTGCTTTGTGAATTAATTGGTATGCATGCATTTTGTTGGTGAGCACGACAGTTGCAGCAACAGTTTCTGCTGTTCCCTATCAAACCTTCGGCTGCTCAAACCAGGATTTACCTGGTCTACTGAGTCTTGACAAATCAAGGTTGAACCAGTAAATCATGTTGCTCACCTGATGGCTGTGAAGTCAGAGAAGCAGCAAGGCAAGGGGGGATAGAGCTCAAACAGTCTACTGCTTCGCAAGTGACATGGGAGCACTTTGGATGTTACCACCGCCGGATGGGCGTACCTCTCCCACTTGGACCGAAACTGCATGAGAATTACTAACTAAAGATGAAGGCTCTTCTTCTGACAAGCCTTCCTGTGAAAGGGGCCGCAACCACGGATGGATTTGTTACCTTTTTGATGGAATCCGTGAATCCGTCGTTGTTTTTAAGAAGTCGTTGATTGATATGCAAGCCACCCAGCGGACTGCCATGTACGGCCCCGGGCCCCTCCCCAGGTGATGAGATCTTATGCCATTGGGCCAGCTCAAGCCCGGCGCGTGTGAACCATGTGCACTCCATGCCCTCTGAGAAGTAGAGCGTCACTGTGACTCGCGCTCAAGTATATACTGTACTTGCGCATACACTTCCAGCTTGGGACACTGATTTTCTTGCGATTTCTCACCATTCCGGCCGAGTGATTCCAAGGGGCCCAGCTTCCAAGGGGCCGATGGCCAGACCGCTTGGAGTTGTGAGACGTCGCGAACGCGAACCGTTCGCCTTCATCGTTGGTTTCACACCAGCCGTGCCACAGAGCCGTGGTCAGTGGTTATAGAGCCCTTTGACTGCGAATCCATATGTTGACAACTGGTATGTTTCAATCGAGTTGACTAGTTGACCTTCTCAAAAGTGTAGAAAAAGCATGAAAAATCTCAGAAGGATCTCGGAAAACCGAACAGACGTGTGACAGATCTAGGCTAGGCAACATATATAATATCTGTTTTTGTTTCAGCTACAGTAATTTATTTCGCGTGTCGTGCAGGGCCAGACTTTGAAGGTCGAGTTGGCCAGGTGGTTGTTGCTGGGTGGAGCCCCACTATGGTTTGTGTTGCACCGCCGAGCTTGATGCAACGTCTAAGACGCAGCAGCAGCAGCAGCAGCAGAGATTCCTTGCATTCAGAAATCCCAAAACCAAAGAATGACACGTGCAAATGCAGATAGATGCAGGCGTGCTGGCCCACGTGTTGCATGCTCTATATCAGACTCACACTCATGCATCCACACTCACATGGATCCCCGAAAGATGTTTCGCAGCTCCGTCCCAGAGAAAACCTCCTGAATCGTTTCAACCATTGGTGATTATATATTCATGAACGCCCGGCGGAACATCGCTCCGACAACGCTTCGCTGTCTCCTCAATGGAGTGCCATGCAACGGCCTCATATTGAAGAACCAAAGAATTAGCCAAAGCCTTTGGAGAAGCATGATTTAGTGTTTGCAAGATGTTGTAGTTAAACTTGTTGCCATAATATGTTGCCCACACTCCTGACTTTAAAGCCATAACTGCTTCCGCCGAGCCGATGCCAGCGATGCCCGTGACAAGCGGCATCGCTGAAGTAACCGCCGAAGGCGCGGATTGCGACGCACGGCATGTGTGGTCCTTCGAGGCCCCAGAAAAAGACGTGCAAGGGCGGCTTAGGTTGGTGAGTGGCTCAGGGCAGTTTCAATGAGAAGCCATGTTTCAGAAACGATGAGATCACCTGGTGACCCCGCGAAAGAGGACTTTCAGAAAGGAAGAGATCACCTGCAAGAGCTGCATATATAGCAGGAACAAGCCGTGCAAGCCCGAATGCGAAAACCATTCAAACCTTCACAGCTGATCCCCACAGAAGCCATCAGAAGCCGCAGCTCCATGACTCAGTTTGGAGAGCTCCGTGGAGCTGTGGAGCAGAGTGACAGATTTGAAACGTCGGTGAAGACCTCGTTCTATCTGCATCCGAACTCCGCTGGGGTGATGTCTTCAAAGTAGCTGGATGTAGGGAGTGGTTTCAATCCAAAGGATACAGATGAAGTGCAAGCTCGATTTTGAGTCTGCATTCTTCCCCATGGTTAGGATAAAGGGATAAAGAGTTTTTCCTTTTTTCCGTGATCAGCTGCTGGGATACAACAGTGTCCTAACCAACACCTGACGGTTCTGACGGCGTTCGTTGTCACGAACGCCGACCTCCAAGCGACCTGGGGTTGGATGCGAACGTATTCCGAGGCGAAGCCTGCTTTTCGAGGCAGTCAACGGGCTGGCAAATGACAGTGGGAGGTTGATTATGGTTGATTTGTTGATTTGTTATGTTCGTAAGGCATGATGCCTGCTCTTGGACTGGTCTTTCTTGGGAGCATCCCTTTTTTCACCTGGCATTGGCAAAAGAATTCTAACCACCACCAGGGTCACCAGAAAGCTCATGTAAAGATACATGAAGAAACAAAAGAAGGCACTGCAGAAGACTCAACCGACTTAGAACCAGACTCGAAGAAAACACAACTTGAACCTCAAGAGTTATTTAGTATTTTTAAAATAACAGAAAAGTAACACATTTTATGTAAGAATTTCAATTTGCTGTCAGTGGGAATGGGGCAGGCACAACCAGGCCTTGGAATGGTCTTGGATGGATCTTGAAAGAGGGATAGGTTGGATCCCTGAGATGGGTCAATCATAGTCATAGTATGACTCAAGAATTGGCGGATGACTCAAGGTATTTGGCAGGTTGCCCCGCTCGTAGATCTAATTGGGAGAGGAGGGGGGGACTGAGACCACTGAGTTCAAGGATTCTGCAAACTGAGAGCTTGCAGGTGTCTCGTGTGGAGGGTATGCAGATGCAGCGGGAGGACTGACTGAAGCATGTACTGTATATTGTTAAAGCAGAAGGTTGGCAGATATTTCGGCAGAGGTTGACATGGCGATGATGAAACGATGCCCGGTTCGACCCAGGCAAAAGTCGATCTATCCTTCTTCTATCTACAGTGCGGTTGGGAGTTACTGTACTGTAATGGCTCTTCACATCCATTGGGCAAGGGCACAACGAACGTCAAACCTGTGGACATGGACTGGCAGCTCTTGACTTAGTTTTTTCCCAACCAATTCCCACCAATGATACTCCCAAGCTGGTGGTGAGGAGGGAGCTATATAAGTGATAAATGATAGATTTACATTTAGGGGTATTTGTCTATATCTTCTAAACGCCACCAACCTGAGGAGCTTCAGGGTCTTTTTAAAGCAGCGTTTGGTGCTTCTTCAGGTTGCCCAGCTTGTAGCAATATCATCCAGATGGTTTCATGTGATTTCTACATGCATTTTAACCACCATCTACAGTCTACATGTTTCATGTTTTAGACTACTAGTAGTTTGGTATATAATATATAGTTTGGTTTGCCATCCACAGGGGATTAGTTCAATTTAGTCCCTTACGCTTTCTCCAGACTAGCAGGACTTGCTTGGTCAGCCAGTGCCTCAGGTCCTGGTAGCTGCAAAGTTGTGGAAAAAAAGATGGACTTGCTATCCGAGCTGCGTGCAGCCCCTGCCTGTAGTACATACCCTGTGCGTGTAAGAAAGCTCGTGGGGACATGTTGGCCAAAAGATAGGTTCTTATTTTTTGTTGTTGTCTCACTTCCTTGTTTACCTATATTATACTGACAAGTAACTAATGTCGACATCGGATTAATCAACGCCCCCCCCCCTTCAAGGTCAACAAGGTCAACAAGGTTCGAGATTGGAGGTGTTGGACGACCACATCCCCCCGAATAAAGGTGACCTGAGGATGGATGATGAACTGATGACAAGATGAGGACAGATTGGGATTGGGATGATTAGGCAAAGAAAGAGGATTGCAGGATGAAAGAGATGGAAGACACGATGGAGGCTAGAGGGTGGGCTTGATTAACAAGGGGAGGGGCTCCTACTATTAGAGGGGTGTAGGGCCTGTGTGAGGGGTATCCTTTGTGAGCTTGAAAGCCTTAAGATTTTGATAGAGTTTGAATAAGCAATAATCAATCATTTTGCTAGGGTGCTTTTTTGTGTTTTAACAGGGAAAGACGGGAAGGACGAGAAGCAGAAGGAGGATGAGAATGATGGATGAGTGGACCAGAAGATATTGGATACTGACCAAAAAGAAAGTAACTGATAAGTAGTTAGATATAATTGTAATAGTAAACACTTTCATAGTTATATTTCTGGGCAGTTGGGCTTGATTAATATGGGGGTTTTTTTGGCCAGGAACAAACATATTAGGTGGATGTCAAGATGGAAATTCAAGTTTTTAAATTAGTGTTGTATTGGGGGCTCGAGCTGGGCTTGATTAATACGGGGGGGTTCATTAATCCTATGTTGACATTAACAAGAAGCCGTGTTGGCATGCACAGCTTCCAATGGGAGAAGGATTCGTTAACTCTGTCAACTTCAGCTAGTCAATCCCCAAGGCTTCAGCGCAGTGAGTGGCAGCGGCAGAATGAGGTGCTCGCTGTTTTCGCTGTGTTTCCCAGCTTCGGTGGGCTTTGGATGGATCAAAGTCCTATCTCATAGCAACCCCCACTGGAGTGAGATTTCTGATATAAGGATCTAGTTGCGAGGTTGTGATTTTTTGTTGGATTGTTTGGTGGACTTCACCTTGTGCCATCCACTATCTATAGAGAGAGGTCGGCTTGTGCGGAGCCAGCCAGCAGTGTTCCTATGAGATCCCCTAAAGCGAGTGGTTGAAGTCTTTGGCGGTAACGAACGCCAGGGTTTAGAACCTTTTTCAAGGATTTAGGGTACCAAGCATTGCCTCTTCAAAATAGTAATGTGTGTGTGTAACCCTTGTAGTCACAGGGATCCAGTTGGATTGTTTTTCTTTTCTTTCCTTTGCAGCAGGGGGGCAATGAACACTTTGGAAGGCATTGCCCAACGAAGACCCTTCCATCGTGTTGTGATATTCCTGAGGGACGCCTCGGGAACGTACCTGCAACAATTTTTAAAGTTTGCGGCAGTCACGCACGAAACGCCGTCACTTCGACCTGATCGCCGACCTCGTTCTTACGCTCTGGGCCACCTTTCCTCGTGGCTTCCTACTGGTACTCTTAGGAAATGGAACCCTAGGCCGGCGCGTGGCACCGCTATCAGTTCAGTACACCCTATCATAAGTGTGTGTCAAGGCATGGGTGACCCTTTGCCTCGATGCTAGACTTGGTCAATCCAACTCAGCCACGTATGGCCAAGAGCCCTAAGCAACACAATCCACCTAGCGGAAGCTATATATAGTTCTTTTTGTTTGCAGGTCGCCTGCCAATTTTGCTGGGTTTCCAAACACTTTCCCCGTGTGCAGGCAGCGGCGGCAGCCGCTAGACTCTCCCTGATCAAGGTCTACTCTAAGGCACTCTTTTCCGCTGATGGAGCCGAATTGGTGGCTCCACTCTTCTCGGAAGGAGCTCTCTCATAACCTCCTGAGGTGGAAAATTTGCGAGTCGCGGCGTTGTTTGTGTTTCTTCTATCAACATCTTCAGTATTATTCTATATGAACAGATTCAAGGGTTTCAATCCGCAAATGTTGCCAGGGCCAGCTTGACCAGCTTTTAGGACGACCAACAGCTGCACTAGTGGAGCGTGCTATTGGATAGATAGCACGCGGGATATGGCGCACAAAGGTGGAGATGTATAAGAAAACGCCATCCTGTCCGTTTAAAGGTAGGATTGTTAAGTAGTACTACTATGTTACTACATTCTGAATGGCACCAAGGTCGAGTCAGTTTATTTTCACCTAAGAATCGATTTTCTAATGTCGCAATTGGCCTTCAGGTCATGGAGGAGATTGAACCTAAGAAGGCTCTGGTCTTGGAGAGCCCTCCGGTA